TCTGGTATAGCTCCACTCCAATTTTACATATTAATTCTTGATTTAATATGGGAGTACCTTTTTTATAGACTTATTAAATTATAATATAACAGCGATTGAATTATAAAGGGAATAAACATTAGTCACTACGATAAAGCATTTGATCCTAGATTAGGAAAGAAAAAGGGGACTAAGACAAGTCATCATGGCCTTTATGTCGCGGGCTGATTTGCACCTTAGGAAAGTGCTACTGTTGGCTAAAACTATCAAACTTCCGGGGACACCCTAAAGCTTTTGGTACTAAGCCATATATTAAAATATATGAGTGGCTGAACTAATTACTCAGGTATAGTAACAAGCCTGAAGATGAGTGAAAACGAAATGGGTTATCGCGGATCTAAGTCAAATAAAAATAAAACTTTATTTGTAAAAGAGCAACGAGTAGACGGTAGTTGATTGGGTAAACATATTACCCAGTTTAAAGTGTACTCTAATGGGTCCCTAGTGGGATTATCTTGTCAAAATCCTTACTAAACAATTATTCTATTGGATTTCGCTGCTGGCTGGCTTCTAATCCTTTGGATAAAGAAGTTAGCACATCACAAAAAAAAGCGATTTAGTTTAATTGCAAGTTTAATTTGATGTCCATGATAGACGTGCCACATTTGCTTATACAAAGTGATGCGAAATTGCGAGATTGAGCGAAACACACAAAATAAGATATAAATATTAAGGATTGTAGTCTGAAACTCGACTATATGAATAAGTAATTACGTGCGACGTGCAAAGGGTCGTTTATCAATGGGAGGGAAGTTCTCCTCTCTACTGAGAGCAGTATTGACTCTATTCCTACATGCTGGATATAAGTCTATCTACATTGTTAGATCTAGAAACAGAGATGAAATGATAGTATGAAGCTAGGAAGATAAAGTAACCTGACTTAAATGTCAAATTTGGAATATAAAACCCCACATGGTGCCAGAGTGAGTGATCCCATGGCAATCGAAAGAGAAGAACTATAGGCCTCGTTAATATTCGTTCGCTTGCAAGATGAATATATGTTCGTAATTTACATATATTTGCTCTCCAGCTATTCTATAGCAACTTGCCGGGGTAAAGGTTTTGCCTAAAGGATCATGTAAAGTGATAAACAATCAACACGGGAACTCCCGTATTTGCCTAACCAGACTGGAAGGAAGCAAGTTATAATGATCAAAAATCAGAAAAAGCTTGTAGAGGATGCGGGATGGACGAGAATCCAAAAAGCAAATGCGATACAATAATAGTGTCGATAGGTTAACTAGATTAGACCAGACTGATTCTGAATAGATTAGATTAATCACTTGTAATGAGTGCAGACTTGGATTAAGGTATTCGTCGACGAAATTGACAAGGTTCGTCTGCCAAAGATCAATTATCATCTGATTGATTGAAGTAGCTAAGGAGTAAAAATCTAGACAGAATGCTCGAGCGGAATGCGGTGAAAGTCGCACGTTCCGTTCCTAGAGGGGGAAAACTCGAGAGAGTCTACCTATCTCAAGTAGTAATCGTGAATCACCATGACACGGTGAATGAACCTCGGATTGGTACTAACCACTCGTCACATGCTGAAAAGGGTATGCGCAATAAGTTTGCTTTTTCAATGGTCAGTAAAAATAACAAGCTGGCTTATATTCTATTGTTGGAAATCTTCGTATGCGCGACTCTAATTAGTGTTAAGTCGAAATACGGTTCGCGTAGTGGAAGTTGCGCGGGATTAATGAAAATTAACAATAATTATATGTTTTAAGTTGATTATCTAACGATAGTTTCTTAAAACAAAAACTGGGAATTGGGTTGTATTTGGTTCGAATCCAAAACTAGTTTATATTTTGTGCGCTGCGTTTATTACTTTTTAATCTTAAGTGTTTTGTGCTAGCTTTGCCTAGCCTAGCCTAGCATTATGCGAACTAGTTAAAATTTAGCTCTCTACTTATTCTATTTTTACAATGTTTTTTTAATTTCTTTATTTTTTTAAATAAGCGCAAGCTCTAAAAAAAAAAAAAAATAGGGAAAAAAGCGAAGGCTGCTTTGGTAGTAGGTCTATCTATTGAGAAGTAAAGAACAACAGAACACTAAAAGGATATGGAAAGCAGATCCTTTATTTTTAATAGCTTTAGCTATTTAGCAGATCACTGTTTGGGAATGGCGCTACGCTAGCTTGCTTGCTTAGCTACGCCCGAAATTATCTTAAAACAACCAACTACGCTAACTTCTGCGTTTAAAAGTAGCTGCGCACAAAATTATAGCATCAGGCTCTATTAAAGAGTTGATGGAGGAATTTCTGACGTGCTATTCTCTGCCTGCTTATAATCAGATTATTATTGGCGATAGCTTGGAAGTAGCTATCTATTGTCTCAGATTTATTAATTAAGTTTTACGAATTTATTTTATCTTATTATCTTTTAGTAGCGCCTTTATATATATAGAAATTTATATAAAATGATGAAGTCCTGAAGTTGCTAACTAACTAACTTCTGCAAAATTGTTGTCAAATGCTTAGCTACGTCCTAAATTATAAAAATAAAATATGCTTAGCTACACCCTCCGTTGTTACTATTTTGAATTTAAACGGGTTCCAACGTAGTTCTTTGATGGGGGAAAGAAAGGAGAGTTCCTTTATTGGTAAAAAGGGTTGGGCTGTAAACTCAATAGCCTCGGCTTGTAAGAGTTCGATTCTCTTGTCTCCTAGAATTAGTAACTTAATTGGTAAAGGATTTCCCTGTCACGGAAGTAGATGTGGGTTCGAGACCCATCTGATTCGGATTAAAAGTAGGGAAATTTTATTAGGTTGCTAGCGTCTACTTAGTTTTCAGTATTACTGCGTAAGATTAATCAAGCACCTGCTACGATAGACCCTATCTAAAAGTACGGTACCTTGAGCTTACCTAGCTATAACTTTACTACTACTAATATTAATAAAAATAAAAATAACTAGAACAATTTAATAATTCGCGATATTTACTATCTTAACGTTGTCGTACTGAATTTTATTAATCTTTCTTGTTTATTTTTGCCACTAGCAGCTACTATAGCTAAAAGGAAAAGTATCCATTGGAAAGGAGAAGTATTTGCTATATACTGTGCAGTTGCACCTAGGCGTTCGACTCGCCTCTTTTCCGTTAATTAATTATTTTCTTTTTGTGCTGTCTTCTACATAGTTGCGATTACTTAGTAGAGAATACTGGTAGCTTTATTATGCATACTTCGTTCACTAATCAGGCCAATATTTTATTCGCTTAGCTTTAAACATCCAGCTACTATGCAGTAAGCCCTAGCTGTTATTAATAATAAATGCAATATCCTTCCTTAGCACTTATAGACTACGTAGTAATACTAAGAAGAATAATTATACTATAATCGCTTCTTTTTTTATTTACTGATTGTTTTATCGCCCCCCTTGTTACTAAGGTATCAAGATGGTTAAGTTATTGCTATTATTAACCTTAATAATATAATCGCCAGCTATTAATTTAATTAAAAGGTTAAAGACTAGAGTTGTTGTAAAGGAATATTCTCGAACATGAATAAGCTCGCTTCGCATGATTTACTATAATAAGTTATTCTCTAGCCAACTGCTGCAACAATAGAAGATCTATTTTCAATTGCAATTATTGTACTACAACAACAACTTAAGTAGTGTGCCTTGATTTGATTAACTTAGATCTACTACGCAAGTAGACATTACCTTACTATTAATTGTAATATACATTCGTAAGTTTATAGTAAGAACTATTGAACCTAGCCTCTAACCTAGCGAAGAATGAGGGTGGAGGAGGACTAAGACCTATAATAATAGAATAGAATCGAATAGAATCGAATCGAATCGAATCGCCTAATTGAACCCACTGAACTATTCCCGCGGCTCCTTACTCTAACGCAGCAGCCATACTACTTTAAAAGAGAAGCTTACCTTCGGAAGCTTGAGATTATTGATGGTTTGAACTCTATAAATCATAAATAGATAATGATGGTAATAGAAGCTAAAATCTAGGATAAATGCTTTAATAAGAAAAGCCAATTAGGGTACTTAGAATTTCAAATAACATATAGGCAGACTTCGAACGCACAAAAAAAATTAGAAGCAAATAAGAGAAGGAGGTAGATTGACTACACTGATTATTCAGACTAGACTAGACTAGACTAAATACAAAAGTACTAAAGACTAGCGTCTGTAGCGGACGATTGATTGATTGATTGATTGATTGGGTTCAACGGATCCTATCTAGATGCTTAGCAAATAACTAATAACTAGTAACTATAAAGATAGTGTTATTTTTTTGAGTTTACTTTATCTGAAGTAATCAAACTACTTATTACATAATGAAGAGACTCGGTCTAAAAGACGACTAGGTCTTCAATTTAGATTTATACTATTGATTACAAAACGATTATCCTAATTAGCAAATATAACAGCTGGCAATGTCTGTCAGTAGTTAGAGGGACCTTAATTACTATATTGTGAATAGTTAAAGGATTGTGAGCTAAACCACTAGCTTACTTCGTACTAATTCTGTTAGAATATTAATTGTGCGACTACTATTTCCACTCCTTGTTTTGCCCGACTTCTTCGATCTCTTTTTTTTAGATTTTTCGTATTTCTTTCTTTTTTTTTTTAATTTTTCCTTTTTATTAAAAAGGAAAAATGCGCAAGCCACAAAAAAAAAAACAGAAGCTATTCTAGCCCTAGCTACGCACCCTTTTCTTTTGTCTATACCTGCTAGAAACTAATCTACTAGTTTAAAACTAATTACAATCCAATAATCAATACTAATATTGCTTTCACTAAATTTGATAAGAAGTTTTAGTGACTAATATGAAAATATTCCTTACTGTTTCCTATAGCTATAGCTATAACTTTTATTAAATATAATGTTTGTTTAATTAAGTTATTCTAATGTTTTCAGCCTTGTTTTATTGCCTTGCCTACTTCGTACACATTATAAAATTTATAATAAGTTATTTGATTATTAATCACTTGAGCCCCTATAGCTTAACGGTAAAGCGCACTACTGTTAATAATGTGATAGGCGTTCGATTCGCCTTAGGGGCTTTTAAATCAATGTACTAAACTGTATTTTTTATTAACTTTATAAAAATGACTAAGACTCTTAGAAGTAATTTTCAAGACCACCCGTTCCACTTAGTTTCACCATCTCCTTGACCGCTTTATACGAGCGTTTCTTTATTTACTTTAACTGTTAATGCTGCATTATCTATGCATTTATTTCAGAACAGTTATATTTTCTTATATTTAGCATTAGGTACACTAATCGCATCAATGAGCCTGTGATGAAGAGATGTAATCTCAGAAGGTAGATCTTAGCTTTCTCATTTTAATTTAATTTAAATATAAACAAAACATTAATTAATTATAAATGTAATAACAATATTACAGTTAATACTAAAAATCGAGTACTTACTAGTATAATCTTCACATAATGATTATTAGTAAGCTATTCTTCAATCGGAATTAGGTAATATTTATAGCGTTTTCAATATTCATATAATAATATGACTATAATAAATTAAAAATCGTTTATAAAGCTCCGCACGAAAATATCTATAGAACTTATACGAAGTCAGGCTAACTTCGCAGACGTTAAGGTAATACAAGGAAATTAGTTTGTCCTTCTTCGTCTGGGCACAGCTATTAATTTTAATCTGGTAAGTGCCTTCTTTAAATTTAACCAATTGCTGGGAAACCCTAATTAAAGGATAATCAGCAGGAAATTAAGAGATTAGAAATTATCTTTTGAATTCTTCAGAGACTAAACGTTAAAAATAAATACGTTATTATAACTATTTGTTAAGAGATAGTCCAACAAGTATAGAAATATATCTTTATTATTGACTTACTTAGGTAACCACACTACTGCTGTACAAAAAGGCTTGAATCTAGGTGTTATTTTATTTATTGTTTCAGAAGCATGTTTCTTCGTTGCAATATTTTGAGCATTCTTCCATAAAGCATTGTGGATAGTAGCCAAATTCTGGGAACACCCTAAAGCTCTAATAACTAAACTTTTCACGGAAACTTTTAAAGTGGCCTGATTAATGACTCAGGGTATAGTAACATCATTAGAGATTATTGATTTAAATAAATGAATGGGCAATCGCGGATCTAAATCAAATAGTTTTATATTTGTAAAAGAGCAACGAGTAGACGGTTACTCAATATATCTAGATATTGTAAGGTGTATTCTAACAACCAGAGAAATCCGGTTTTCGACTTAATAATAATATTATTCTTAGTGAATCATTGCAAAGCTCTTTGGGTGCGCAAGCTACGATAATAGGGTAGGGTCACTAGCCTCAGCGCAATTTCCCAGCATAGCAGCGCTGCCTATTTAATAGCTCTTTTCGTGCGAAGCTTTATCGTTTTTTAGAAAAAGAAAAATATAGCCGCCTATTTTAAGCTGACTACGTAGAAGTCTGCGTGGAGGCTGCAAAGCAGACTTTAGTGCAAAGCCCTAAAAATAGAAAACATTAAGATTATAATATTATTAATTAGACGAAATTTCAAACATATCTTATTTAAATATAAGATTAGTTAACTTAACTTAACTAAACTATGAGTGCTTTAACACCTACGATTGAACTGGGCTCTGTGTGACCCCCAGCAGGTATAGAACCAGTTAATCCTTTTGACAAATAAGAATTCAAAGGGCCATCGGAAGTCGATACTGATGCGAAGAGGGCAAATTGCGGGAACATTTATAAGAATTAAATATAAATCTGGTTTATATTTTTTAATATAATATCATCTTTTAAATAATCCGCAGGTTTAATCATTAAGTTGTTATTGGAAGTATTGCTATTTTACCATACGGTAAATTCTATATTCTATAAGAGTTAAATAAATTTATTTACTTACTTACTAACTAACTTATTGTTGGACTTCAACGATCAAACGCCCTCGTATAAAATACAAAGAGTAATCTTTACATAATTAATTATTTCACCTTCATCTTTAATAATTACCACTTAGTAGTAATAGGTGAGCGGCGAATCGACATGTAATTAATAGATTATTCCCTGACTAATTGCTATTTAACGCTAGAAGTCTAGGGCTACCTCTAGGTATATTTATATGTGATATGATCTAATCTAATTATTATTAGTAATAGAAAGTTTTCAAAACTTACCTTTTCGACTGAATCCGACTCAGAGAGCACAAAAAGTGCAAGAGTTAGACTGTCCTGTCCTATAAAAAGGTTATAGTAAGAGCAGATCACATTTTCATAACTCTATGCTATACAAAATAAACTAAACTAATTGATTGTTTGAATTACCACTGTTGAACACTACCTTATTGTTATCTAGTGGTGCTACAATTACATGAGCGCATCATTGTTTAATTAAAGGTGAAAGATCCGGAGCAATTTTTGGAACTATCTTTACAGTATTATTAGCTTTAATATTTACTTGCTTTCAAGCATTAGAATACCACGTTTCATCTTTCACAATCAGTGATGGAATTTTCGGTGCCTGCTTCTTCTTTGGAACCGGGTTACGATGGGAGCCCCTATTTAATTTTACAAAAATATCTTAAGCTTAGTTTACTTTACTATCTAGACTCTTTTAATAAGTATTAAACTACTTAAGCAATTAACAAGGAAGTTTCTAGCCCTACCATCTTTCTTAATCTTTTTAGTCCATAGATTTAATGAGGTATCTTTATTAATGTCTAATCTATGTACACAGACTGACAGGGTCTAGATAAAATAATGTCAATTAAGAAGATGAAAGTATGTTAAATTAATAGAAAATTATAAGGTAAATTGCGTGAATCTGTCAAGTAGAATTTGATACAACCCGCAGCCAAGTGTAAATTTGATAATAGTTATTATTTATATAATATAAACGAATAAAATTTACAAAGGTTCAACGACTAGTAAGTGAGTGAGTATAATCAACAATATCTTACCACGAAAACCTAACAACTTAATTATTTAGTTGAAGAGATAGTCTGATCCATTTTTAACAAAATGTTAAAGGATTAAAAGCCTTTATTTAAAATTTAGTCCACGGAATTCACGTCATCGTTGGTACAATATTCTTAGCTGTAGGGCTATGAAGAATATTAGCCTATCACCTAACGGACAATCACCACCAGGGATATGAAGGAGGAATTTTATACTGACACTTCGTCGATATTGTATGGCTATTTCTGTATGTTTCAATGTATTATTGAGGTTCTTAATACTTAATTATATATAGAGAAATTATTTCTCTAAACGGGTATAAGTTAACGGTAGACTTTCTGATTTCCACTCAGCGTGTGTCAGTTCAAATCTGACTACCCGTAGTTTGCTGTGTGTATATAGTCAGCTATACAAATTTAATCTAAAAGCTTTAAAGCGATTCGCTTCAATTATATTTCCTAATCTTAGGTAAATCATAGCAGGTCCCGACCCCTAATACCGCGATTTTATAAAGCTCCGCACAAAAAGAGCTTCCCAACAATTTCTTTATATATATAATCAGTATTGGAGGTATGGCTAGCTTCGCATAAATAAAAATGAATCAATTATTCTCAATTCAGGAAGTCATTACTAGTGGTTACACTGTGGAATATCTAGATATTTTAAGTGTAATAGCTATTATATTTAGCATTTCAGTTATTATAAATAAAAATCCGATTTCTTCACTACTATCTTTAATCGGTCTATTCGGATCTATCTCTGTATATTTAATCTTATCTGGATTAACTTTTATAGGATTTTCTTATCTTATAGTTTACATCGGTGCTGTTTCTATCTTGTTTTTGTTCGTTTTAATGTTAATTAATATTAGAACTAGTGAATTACAAAGTAATAATGTTAATAGTATACCTTTAGCTTTATTAATCACTATATTATTTAATTATGCATTATTTCAATTATTACCCTTCAATATTGCTATATTAAATAGTTTTAACAGAAAATTTAGTAATATCTTATACTCTTTACCTACTAATAATTACAAAGATATTATTATGAATACGGCGCTACGCTCTAAAAATCTAGACATTAATACACATAAAGTATTGTTTGTTACAAGTAACAATTGAGACGGTACAATTACAGAAACAAGCCATATCTCAACTATAGGTAATATTTTATATACTACATATAATATGTGATTATTCCTAGTTAGTATAATTTTATTAGTAGTAATGGTAGGAGCTATCATTATAACTTTAAAACAAGAGACTATTAAACAATAGTTAAAAAAAACAAAGAGAAATTAGTTCAACTGGTAGAACGTTTGTTTTACACACAAAATGCTAAAGGTTCAAATCCTTTATTACTCAAGATTCCTTAACTTAATCGGTAAAGTGTATTCTTGATAAGAATATTATCAGTGTTCGATTCACTGAGGAATTAGCTAGCTTAAATTTATCTGCTTCGCATTATTATAATTTTATATATATATATTTATAAAATACAAAAAATCCAAAATTAAAGAGAATTGGCCGAGTGGTTTAAGGCGGCAAGTTTGAGTTTTGCTTGGTTAGAAATAGCCACATTCGTTCGAATCGAATATTCTCTGAATTAGCTAGCTAGTTAAGTAGCTAAGTGCATCAACCCACTGCTGCACATAAGCTTCGCACAAAAATATTGCTTGTTTAGGGTGGCCCCGAAAGAGTGTAGTTTAATTGGTAAAATAGGAAGCTTCAACCTTCAAATTCTTGGTTCGAGACCAAGCACTCTTGACTTAAGTTTTAATCAGAATAAGATTGCTTAATTAAAAATATTTAATCCTTCAGTATTTATTAAGCGCATAATGATTTACTGGAGTTTTATCGCTTTTCTTCCTTATTTTAATCTTTAAGGTTTAGTCAAGCGAGTTTTCTTTATTTTTTTTTTTTAGTATTAGTATATACAAAAACAGCTCTAATTACCCAGTGTTGTTCTTTTTTTTTATTATTATAATAATAAAAAAAAATAAGCACAAAACACGCACTCCTGCTGCTGACGTAGTAGCACCCCTAAAGAGGAGCCCTTCGGCGCGCCTAAAAAAGAGAAGAGAAGAGAAGAGAAGAGAAACTTAATACTGCAGCCTTCG